TTGGGTGTAGTTAGCATTTGAATGGACTTAGGATTTTTATTGCAGCTGATATGAATGCTTTCCATATCATACTGGAGTTCTGAGACTGTTGGAGAGAACAGTCGTTCTCTGCTCCATTCATTTTTTTGGACTTTTTATTGATCTCCTTTGCCTTTTAAGGTAGACTTTCCATCATTGGATTCATTGTATGCCTTTTTGCGTGCGGCTTCAAATCTCATTAAATAGGGTAGACTAGTGCACTGGGGCATATATTTGTGTGTAACTTTCATCTCCCATCTGAGATGAACTGGATTGTTACAGGATGCCTGTTGAGTAATAGTGAGCATCAATATGAATCTGCTAGTTTTTTTAAATTTAGACTTTATAGGTGTCGGTCATGTAAATGCTTGCAATGCTAAACTAGAAGTGGAACAATTGGTGGGATTACGTGTTGCTGATCCTACTATACAGCATCAAATCCTTTTGTGTTACATTAGCAGTTGTGTAATGGTTGGACTTTTAATATAATAGCAGTTGTTGCTGCTTTGAACTACTTATTTAATTATACTACTTCAGTGAGTGAGTACTAAACTTATGGAACAGGCTCCCTAGGGAGATGGCAGAAGCAGAACATGTTGTTTCAAGAATAAATTAGATAAATTTCTGCAAGAAAATAATATCTCGGAATACAGTATATAGTTTGGGACACAACATGTCAAGCGATTACCAGGGTGGTGGAAGGGAAGCTAGATGGACCCTAGTCTTCTTTCGCCTAGCAAGTTCTTATGTTCTTATTTATCTTTCTTGTGTGTGCGTGGGGGAGGGGGTGCGTGGGGATGTGTGTGTGTGCAGGTGCGTGGGGGGTGTGCGCATGTCTGTTCACATGCAAGTATATATAAATTATAGATGGTGCCCAGGAAGAGTCATAAAAAGCTGAATTGGTTTCAGCGGTTTGAGCACAAATACAGCAATATTCTTGAAACAACCTTAATCAAACTTAATTTCAATCTTATTGAGTATTTATTAGGCATCATTCCTGAAAGAATTATAGTCGATGTTGGTGAAACCCGTTGAAGAAAGCTAACCTGAAACGTTGGGATGATGAATTTGAAAATCCTCCTGGCGAAGGTTAACTCCTGATACTTCTGCATTACAGCAATGCGTATCATGGATCTGGTTGCCATGGTGACAGTCTGCCAGGCTGGAATCATTCCTGTTAATGGAGTCGTGTATTGCCAGTGCGCACTTTTTTTTAAACCGGGATTTCAAAATGACAGCTTCTTTTTCGAACAGCAGTAAGCAGGGTTTGAGGGTGAACACCATTGACCTTTCCTGTAGATTGTATAAAATGGAGAAGTATCTGTGCTTTATTAACGTTGCAATGAAAGCTTCAGATGTCATCGCTTGCGAGTGCAATTCATGCTGATCATTCCCTTCCTCTGAAGTTGACATCTGGACAGCCATAGTGTAGAACGCTTTCAACTATAAAGCTGGCACAAAGGAGAAGAGGGGAAGAGTACTGTCCAGACAAATAAAAGAAAATATTGATGTCCAGTGACCTGATGAAAGGATCAAAGGTGTGCAAATCTTTGAAATCGCTGCCACTGTACTTTGCAGGACATTGTGCAAAGAGTATCTCATTCCTTGGTATACTGCGAGTGCACTTGAACTCCGAGAAAACCTTTCCCTTGGTTTAGAACTCAAAACTCAAATTTTCATTTTGTTAGTTTGGATGAGATGTTCATCTTTTTAAACCTAATTTTAAACCTAGTTTGGATGAGATGTTCATCTTTTTAAACCTAATGATTTCTCCTATGAAAGAAGGTGATTCTCCGTTTGTGTTGGCTGCTATCATACATTGGATTACTAAAATGGCTTTGTGGGTTGCACCTTGAATTAGCATGTGTCTAAACAAATTTCCCCTTGGCTCAGTAAGCAAGAAGTCAACCAAGGCAATGCACTTAATTAGTGTCCATTGGTCAATGGCAACAAATTTAATTTATATTAGATCTTTCTTAGCGGGAGGAGGTTTCAAAACGCAGCTAACTAGGCACTGAAGCCAGATGCCTTGTATCCCTAAGTTTTTCTTAAAAAGGCTAAGCCAGGTTGGAAGTTGTTGCAGAAGAGTAGTTTGCTTACTTTCATATTCCTTTTTTAAGGTGTTCGCTTTCGAAATAGTCACTAAACTTCACAGTAAAATCTTGTGAAGCGCTTTCGGACATGTTGACCACGTGCAAAGTTGCCGCATCGAATGCAAGGATGATTGATATGAAAAAGAATAACTATCACTTTTTCCATCTTCCATCTGTTCAGGTGGGAAGAAATTCAATTTAGTTTTCTCCCCATTGTGATTACCTTTTTTGAAGCAATAAATAGTTATTTTTTGCTGCGCTGGCTTTGCTTTCCTTGTCTAAGCAAGCACAGATGAAAATCCATTTCAATATTTTATCCATTGATTTGCCTAGAACAGGTGTTCAAACTTATAGATGAAGTTAACTCGGGTTAATGTTTTAGATTGACTTTTGACACGGTATCCATGGTAACAGAATTATAAATTGCACGACTGCAGTCAATTCATTTTACATTTATACTATGAAGCGCTATGCAAGTATTACTATTATATTGCGTGCTAAGGCATCTTGTAATCAATATAAGGCTCTGGTACTTGAACCTATTTATCTCATAAACCAAAGTTATTTCCAGCAAAGAAGGCTGTTCAGCTCATTGTGTCTGTGCTGGCTTTTTGAAGGAGCAGTCCATTCAGTTCAAAAATAAATCTGTTTTAAACAAATTTGATTTGTTCAGTGAAGTCCAGTTCTGATCACATTAGCTTAGTCAATTTTTCTTGTTAACTACCGACTGTTGTTTTTAAAAAGGAAATCTACTTTGAAATGTGTAGATAACTGATGCAATCTTTGGTCTCCTGGACATTCCTATTTCCTTTATTGCTTGAACATTAATCAATTTTTAGGAAAAAAAATCTGAACAATTTGGTTTAGCTTGTGGCATTTATGATGGGAATTTCTATATTCAAAGAGAATTTTTGAACCATGAATATGACGTTTAGCGTTTCCCATCTTGCTTTTATCCCAAAGCAAAGGAGTCCTGTAGCTCAGTGGTTAGAGCACTCGCTTTGCAAGTGAGAGACCTGAGTTCAATTCCAGGCAGAGGGCGAAACCTTGGGCAAGTTTCCTTACTCCTCACGCCTAATAATAATCCCTCCAAAACCAAAACCAATAATAAATGAATCATTTTCAATCTACGACTGTTTGTGGGACATTGCTGTGCGCAATTGGCTGCCGCGTTCGCCCACAAATATATAGTCAATTCACTTTACAGTATGTTCTGTGAAGCGCTTTGGGACGTCCTCCTGACGTGAAAAGCGCTATATCAAATGCAAGGATTATTATTATTATTATTAAAAGCATCAACTCATTTTCCTTTCACTGGTTCTACAGCTTCCTAGATGCTCATGACTTCTGATCGTGTGCCAATTATTAATGCACGAGCCTAGACTTGAGTCTGTGCCAGACTGACTATCAGCATTACAGCTCCAGTCATTTGTGTCTTTAACCAATGTTCTGTACCGCTTCCCCCATAAAGTTTTAACCTGTACTTCAGGATATGCAATATAAAACCTCCAGTGTGCCTAAGCAGCAACCTCAATATTTTCAATTTCAACCTCTTTCCAATCTGAGTGTACTTCATCACTGCCAGAATGGACGTGCAAACAGCCAGTATTACCTGGTCACTGCTTCCAAATTCATGCTTAGAATGTGCAACAGCAAATAAAAATGTTTCTTTGTCTGATAACCTCACAGTTGGGGTGAAGGTTGTGGGTGCAGATTGGTGGTATATTACTTCTCAGCAGTAAAGCTGATTTGTACTGCTGTTCCTGACTTCTACTTGTTTCTTTTTGCCCTGTGATTTTCCCAACATAGGGAGTTCCCAGTTTCTGGTTAAACATTGTGAAGGAGATTTATCACATCTTTCTTTTTACCATAACAATTTGTCATTATCTTTATCTAAAAATATAAATTATGACTGAACTATGTAGCTATGACTGAGTCTGAAATCTCCATTCCTTGGCTAGATTACTACTGCTTTCATGGAGTTTCTGAACCAGAAACCTACGTGCTCTCTTGTAAAACTGAAAGGAAATTATATCTCCTGAGAGTTGGAAATATTTTGTACTCGTTAAACTAATATATCCATCGTAGGAGTAGGGTGTCAAAGGTGAATGATTTTCGGGAATCTTTTTGTTCTCTTAATTTTAATGTTTCCAGAAGGTGTTTCCAGGAACTTGTCTCAGTGAAGTAAATAAACTGGCAAATAAACAGGTAGAGATGGAGCACAGTACAAGTTATATCCAACAGTACCTTATACTTCCCATCCCAAACAAGTTGTTGTTGAGACACAATTCTCAACACAGGTACAATATATTTGCATGTTTTGCCTATTTTGGCAGCTACTGTTGTAAGACAACCAAGAATCAGGCAGGGCAGGTTGCTGAAGTTTACTACTGTTAAGTTAATTGAGTGGTCTTGGAATACTTGTAGCATAGAATTTGAGTCCCAGATTTTTGTGGTGGTTTAAAGCAAAATAATGTAATCCTTATAAGGGCACCAGTTATTATGATGTTTGAGTGCTTTGAAGCGGTTTGTTTGTGTAAAAGACAATGTACAAGTTACTGTTGAATTCACTACTGGCCTAGATTGAGAAGTTGATTTTCATTTATTGATAGCCTTGAAGTTTAATGCAGCTGTAAACTTCAAGCAAATCCTTGATCGACCTTCAGGTGGGTTAATTTAACTATGTAACCCCTCGATACGTAATCAGGTGAGGTCCTTGCATTTTGCAAGAAATTTGATTAACACAAATGTTTTGTTTCAAAAGTGAACTGCACCAGTGTTTTTTTTGCGTGCTTAATTAAAGTACAATTGCTTGTTTCTGAGTGACATTTTTAAGTCTTTTAAACCGCCAAACTGTCTTTTCTAAAAAATGTTCTTTTTTTCCCCCAGGGACCTGCTTGCTTTACTTCAGAACAGACTTCAAATAACAGCACAGTTGTATTTGGGTATGTATGTATGCTCTATTTTTCTCTTCTCCCTTTTCTGTTTGCTTCTTACTTATTTTAAAAGCAAATTACAGATGTTTTGAATAAAATGTCTTTGAATACAGTGAATGCGCCACAGTTTATAGTGGTTTCAAATGGCCTCTTAACGGATATTGATCGGCTCCTCCATGGTTGATGGGGGTGCTGTCCCAGTCACCTAGTGGATAAATTTACTGTTTACTGTTTGCTGTGGATATTCAACAGGAAGTGCCTGAGTTTGATTCCTGATCTGTGCTGTTCACTTGAGAGCAGCCATGGCGGTGGTGTTTCACTGTAATTAATCTGCCTTTAGGCAGGGTTCCCACTCCCAATGGCTGTTCAGCTTCCAGCAAGGATTTCTATCTGTGTGGTGACTAATTTCCTCATAAAGAGCTTGCTGGTCCTCACGTTTTTAATCAATGGTTGAATAACATTTGGGCCTAGATTTAAGCTAATTTCCCAAAGAGCAACGCAAGAGCTGAAAGGAAATGCCACACAAAGGGTTCTTAGCATATGTCATATCCTACAAGAATGGTAGAACGGTAGTTGAGGCAGAATCCATGTTAGCTTTTAAAAGGAAATGTGATAAATACCTGAACAGGAGGAAAGTAATATTGAATGGGGGGAAAAAGCAGGAGAATTGGATGAAATAGATAACTTTCTGAGAACCAGCAGACACCATGTGTTATACACATGTAGGTTTCTATACATCTTCTACTGTTCAAACATTGTGAGTAAAGATCTTCAGTTTGTTTTTGTGCAAAAGGCTCTCAGTTTGCTAAGTTTTGTTGTTTGATATAGCATCTGTTCTCTTTATCAAGAAATCTGCAGTTGATTATGGAGAAATTTCATGTCCAGTGAATTTGTTCATTTAGCACTATTCTTTCTGAAATGCACATAATCATGTAAGGATGCTTTTTTGTGGTATTCTATTAAAAATCTCACTGATTTGAGCTTAATTTAGCCAATGGGTTGGTTTGTCTTGAGACGATTTAAAGTTCTTTCTTGGGAATTTCTTGCTTTGCCCGAACTCCAACCTGTCTGGATTGTTTGAATCTAAAACTACAATTATTTGGAACAAACTCAAACTTTTTCTCTCTTCAGGGAAATGTCTTGTTAGATCTCTCACCATATTCTAATCCTACTGAATGGTGTATCTTTTGGGTATATAAACTTTTCATGTTTGGCAGTCCTCTGAACAGCATATTGTTTTGATGGATATGTTTAAAAAGTGTCCTTTTGATACCGTTTTGGGCTTTGTAAGATTTTTGGGAAATGTATGCTCCATTGCACATGAAGTACAAATGTACAAAAACCCAAGGGAAAATGTGAACTTCGTCTTTGTAAAATCCAATTTCATTCATGAGCTGAAAACTCTGGTCTTCTCAGTTGTAATTAGTTTGACTGAGGAAACTAATTTCAAAACTGCAGATGTGATTATGTTCAGCAGTCTTTAAATTGTTTCTTGGATTTTCTATTTGGTTGTCAAATCATGCAATTGTGTCTGGAGCTGCTGAAGTGTGCCAGCTGTATGATTTCAACAAACTTTGTTACTGTGGATGATAAACAGCTGCATGTTATTCTTGAACAGAATAATTCTCTGATCTGATCAACCTTGGGGAAGTATGGTGCCTCTAAAGCTCATCATTTGTTATTTCGTGGAAAAATAATTACATATGAAACTGCAATCGTCTGATTCAAGCTCTTTTATCAGCAAGAACATTGCATGAAATGGTAAAGTGCTATAGGTGGAACATTAGCTGAATTCTCAACATTTGAATAAAATTAAATGTTCGACTCGATCCTCACAGTGTCAGTGCAACCTGTCACTCCAGTGCAGCGCTGGGGGTGGAGTGCTGCATTCTCACAAGTGCCTTTGAATGAGATAAATGCTACACCAAGGTCCCGCCTGCCTCTTCAGATGGACATTAAAGATTCCATGGCACTGTTGGTAATGAGGAGGGAATCCCCGTGTCTTGCTCAACAACCCCACAGATAAAGTTAGTCATTCACCTCATGGCTATTTGTGGGACATTGCTGCGTGTATGATTTTCACCTCTGCACTGGAGCATCAGCATAGACTGATTTCCAAGTCCCAGTGTGAGTGTTGAACCTGGAAGCTTCTGATTGAAGCAGTGAGAGTGGTACCAGCTGAGCCATGCTGACGCACACTTTTCGCTTTGAGAAATATCTTTACCTGTTGAATTGTATTCTCTACGGTTATTTTTTATCAGAAGTTTTTTTTTAACTTCAATCATGCCTTATCTGTGGTTATATATGGTTTCTCTCTTGTGGCTTGAGAGTTTTGCAAGCGAAGTCTACCATATGCCAACAACAGCAGCTTGCATTTATATAGCGCCCTCCACGCCGGGTGGCGTCTGGAGTGCTTAACCAGTTCATTAAAGTTTCAGTTCTACAACCAAACACTTAATATTGGTTCCTGGAGTCCAGTTCCTATGTGTGATGTATTACATCTAGTATGGCATTATTTTTCAATGCTATATTCAACACCTTCGTGATTGCTCTTTGTTCCCCCAATGCTAGTGTATTGATTTATTCATTAGAATTGGAAGGTTTCAGAAAATTGGCTGGTGAAGAGCTCTTGTGATCTTAGAATCTAGTGAAGCTCTACATTATTTGGGTGGGAGGAAGGAATTGAGAAGAATGAGCAAGTACTTTCACTGAAATGTTAGATTTTCTATTTCAATCTATTCTACCTTGAAGAATCCACTTGTTTTGAAGTTGCTTTTTGTGCCTTAGCACATCAGACCAGGCAGAAGCTGCAGTCGTCTCCACTGACAAAATCACTATATTTCTTTTTCCCCCTTGATATGCATTATACCAATGGATTTCTTTCACTTTGTAACTGCAGGTTGCTTGTCTGATTATCTCACTAATTTAGGTTGGGATTCAGGAAGTGATGCTAATTCTTATTTTTCCTTCTCCCACCCTGACCCAAACCCATTCGTTCTCTCCTGAAATGACAATTTGCATTTATATAGCACCTTTCACCAGGCAGTGTTTTGGAATGCTTATTAGTGGCAGAGCCTGACTCTGAGCTGGAATAATAATTTAATATTAGTAATCTAGTAATAGAAATGGTATCCATTCTTCAAGTTGTACAAATGGGTTGTGTCTTATCTTTCCACCAGGTGGTGATATTGTTACCATCACTGAAATGTTCTTCATAAGCGTTACTAATTTATTTTTCCTCTCCAGTTTTCTCCTGTCTTCCCTTTCCAAGCTGTTCTCTCCTCTTTCCAACTGCTACAGCAAAACTTCCATGTGTTCCAGTATGGCTGTTGATCAGATTGTGTCGGTGGTGGTGGGGGGGGTTGTAAGGACTTCAGTCCTCTTCTCACTTTGTCCACACATGCTCCTCCAGCACAAAATAACCATCAGGAGCAGGATTCGTAGCTAATTCTTATTTTCCAAAAGTATTACAAATAATTTTACTCCCACTGTTGTCCTGACTGAGATTAACTAGGTCAGACTAGAACCTGGGACTTTTGTACAACTGCCAAGAAAAAAAGCACAATGGGTGTCTCATTCCCCTGTCTTGCTGAGCATCTAAAAGTGGGGTCCATTTTAATTGCATGATCTTGAATCATTCAATGTGAAATGCTGCTTTAAATGGGACTGTTTTATTTTGAAGCAAACAATTATGAATTTATTGATTACCGAATCTTACCATTATTTCACTGTGATGGTAGACAACCTGCTCCCAAGTCTATGCTGCAAATGAATCATTTGTTAGAGGTGTGCCATTCTTTGTTTGCTAAATCCAATGATTAATGCCAACATGATGTGGCACCGTGCCACCCAATTTGAACAAGCTTTTGTGTTCTCTGTGCATTAGCAGTCACATCCTATGCCAGAAGTGTAACCCGGATCAAAAAAACTTGCTTATTTGTTCTCAACTTTTTTGGCAAAGCATTGCTAGATGACACAAATTGTTAATTGGAGTGAATCTTCCTGATGCGCTGATACTGTGTTAAAAATTGGTTTCTGAACTGGATTGTGACCCTTTCCAAGTGTTTATTTAGTGCTGTTCATCGGATTGTATTTTTTTTATAGCTACTTAAATAGTTCACAAGAGAGGGAAAACTAGCTCTATCCCAAAATGTCACGCTTGATTACTGTGCTGCAGTTGAAATGCACCTTTCAAAGACCAAGCCTGGTTAAATATTTATTAAACCTATATTTCAAATATTATGTATCTGCTTTTCCAGAATAACTGCACATTTGTGCTTACAGAAACTTGCAAATCAAATCTGAGCTTAAATGCAGTCAGTATGTTGCAGATGTGAACCGAATAGCTGGAATTTCAATTGTCACGCTCACTACATTGCAACACATGGTGTGAAGCCAAAAAATTTGAAGTATTTATTGGATTAATCTAGTTTTTATTGCAGCATAGTACTGACTTCCTCCAGTGTCGGGAGGGTATTTATTGTACGTGCGCTCATTGTTCTTCCCTGTTCTTTATGTGCAATTCAATCCCTAGTTGAAGAGGGAAGCAAGTGATCTGTTGGATATTTCTCTTGAAGCCTCTCAGAGTTTTGTTGTTAGAGAGTGTGTGTTGTGTGATTTTTGCCTTCCCTTTGATGAGGAGACACCTTGACACCAAGTGAATCTCCGACTAAAGATTATGTGCTGTAGCGCTTGCATAATCTTCCCCAAAGTGCCAAATATTAAATGGCAAATGGTGCATAACAACACAGGTGTCAGAGAAAGGGGAATAATTTAGTAACTGCACAATGTGGAACAAATTCAATTCCCAAAATGTTTGAGAATTGAGAAGCCACCAACGTGAAGTAGAGCCAATCAGAAATATATCAGTTTGATAGATTGCACACTCAAAGCAATAGGCAAATAAACTCCATTTACCCAGCCATGCAGCTAAATCTGCACATCTACATACATCTACATACACAAAATGTTAATGGGCCATTTCTTTTCCAATTTGTTTTGTGGTTGCC